AGTGGGTGGCCAGTGAGCCAGACAGAGAATGACCTTGGCACTGCCGGGGCGTGCGCGCTGGCGCACACGAAAGCCAGACATGTGGGACACGCAGCTGTTAGAGTACAAGGTCGCTACAGTGGCTTGACCTCAAAGTCGTCCAATGTGATGCCCGCGTTAGTAGACTAGTCTCATTAGTAGGTTTGCCTCAAAACGTCTGGACACAGAACTTACTGTGGTGACTGCGGCCCAGACATCACTACGGGCCACGCCACTCTAGCGGAAGGAAGTGTGGGATACGAAGTAGTCCATCCAGGAACCTAAGATCGGAGTATGCCGACTGTTTCAAACTAGTTAATAAGAACAAAGTCGTTTGCAGATATAAGCACGTGCTCATTCAGCGTCTTATTTAAAATAAAACAAACAGACGTTTAATGTCACTAAAATACTTCCCCTTCAAGGAAGAACGGAGTTCGAAAAAAGAAAAAAATTAATAACAGGAAAAGGTGGAAGTGTTAAGCAGAGGCTTCAAGTCTGTGACGGTCGGGGAAATGGATATGACGGCCAATGCATGTAAGGAGAGAAGCATGCGGAGTCGGGGGAAACGCAGGGCCAGCAGGTGTAAGCGGAGTCTGAGAAATAGTAAGTGGCAATGTGTCAGGTGGAGGGTGTCCGGTTGGGGCCGTTGAAAGATGGTCGGTATAAGCCGTCTTCCCACGATCGACTGAGACCACGTCGGTGCGACCGCCACGGACAATCGTAAAATGCTTGTCCGTCCGAGATAGTATTCGAAATGGTCCGTCATAGGGCTGTTGTAAAGGCCGACGAAAACCGTCTGTGCAGACAAGTACAAAAGAGCATATTAGCAAGTAAGGGTCGACATAGGCCTTACACGCTGGAGCGCGTGGAGGAGCTGCTCGCAGATTTGTCATTGCTTGATGCAATCTTTGCACATAATCCGTGGGATCCATGTCGACTGAGGTTTGAGAATGCCCAAAAAAATCGCCGGGAGTACGTACGGTAGTGCC